ACCAGGCAGATTCCCTTTTTGGTTAAATTACTTTACAGCACTTATTAGAAGAACAGCCAGATATTTCTTATTGCTGATTTTACCTTGAACTGCTGTAGTAAACTCTAGAGAACCTGGGACACAACTGTGCTTTTTTTTCCCAGCATTAACTTACATGAGGGCTGAGTGGCAAAAGACTAGGGAGTTTTAGCTTATTCCTGCCAGCCACTTTCTTCCAAGTCCAAATAAAGACTCAAGCCTCAATTTCTGTGTTCTCCAGATGATAGCAACGATTCCTCACATGCCACAGACTGGACTGTGGACCTATTTTTATCAGTGGCATAACAGTCACAGCATAGACAGGCCAGTGTTACTTACTCGGTTGTATTCCATAAACCCAGAAGAACTGAAAGGGTTACTACAAATCTTCTATCTCATGCTGTTGATGCACTCCTTTAGCCCAATGTTATTCTTTTTACTAGAGAGCTAAGGCAAAACTCTAAAATATTAAAACTAAAACCGCTCCATACCAAGACTGACAACTTTCATTGCTAAAGACTGATGAAATTTTTTCTACAGTTATAGTTTGTACAGTCAAAAAGTTAGCCTCTTCCAAGATTTTTAGTACTGCTGGCAGATCTTCAAATTTTCTTTGGCCTGAGACAAAACAAACAGTTCACCCATTCATCCTGTGGGTAGCTGAATTAGAAGATCTACATGAAGACATTCAGGAAAGAAAAAGAACAAGATAAACCCTTACTGCTAATCCAGGCACAGAAACCATGCACCTACCTGCCCTGTTACAATACATTGCTATAAAACTAATGAAGCAGTAAAAAGAATGATCTTACATTTATACACTAGATTGCTCTGCACATGATAAAACTGGGTCTACCTGGATTGAAGTCAACAATTCATAATAAAATGGTGATGTCAAAGCTCAAGTTAACATACCTATAAGTTAATGAGATCACCTATCCATAGGACAAATTACAGGCCTTAATCTGCAGAAATCAATGAGCTCTACGTAGGAGCTTATTATTATAAAATCAACCTAATAATTTTGAAATTATGTATTTATGCAGATCAAGCAGATATATCACAGATCACTGATCTTCTGTCTCTTCAATAAGATGCTAGTAAGAATTTTTTTTGTTTTCTAATAGCATTATGCAAAAAAAAAAAAAAAAAAAAAGGTGTTACATCTAGATGTATCTGCTGCAACATGCAATGGCATGTTCTGAATTCCTGGAATGATCAGGGCACCTGTTGAAGCACGCTGCAGCTTCCATCTAGGCCCCATGCCCAGTTTTCCTTTCTGTGCAAACGAGGACAGAGGAGAGACTGGTGCATGCTTCAGTCGCACTCTTACAGACATCTCATGTGCACTTCCTGACCAGGAACTGCAGCTTCCAATAAGCACTCTTGGCTCCTCCAGATCAAGTGTAACATGTAATGGCTAGATTCACTTTACAAGTACCTATCTGCTACTTTATAATTAAACTTTATGTTCAGGTGAAGTTTTCAGCTGCCACCTAACACCACCAACACGCACATTGCAAGGGCACCGAAGTTTCCATCAGTAAGCATGACTGGCCAAATGAACGTGGCCGAAGAGCAAAGCCCTGCCTAACATATACCCACATCCTATGTTGGACTCAAGCTTCAGGCAGAAACCCATATTAGCTCGGATTTGTCTCATACTCTTACTGGATCAGGCTTCATAAATATATAAACATAGGAAACCTCTTCAGAGTGTGCAACATACCTGCAAGTGTCAGCAATGACATCCAACAAGTCCACCTCAAAGGTATTTGTACCGAAGAATAGAAGACACAGCTGGCCTGCTTTCAAATAGGGTCAAGAATTCAGATTTCCTGCACACCTGTAGCCTCATGTATACCAGAAAATCAGATGTGATCTTTTTGTTTTCCTTTTTCACTCTGTAAGCCACATCATATTGCATTACAATATACGTGTTAATTAAGAAAAGGGTGGGAAGAGGAAAGAAGGAGACTGAATCTACAACTTTGTTGATACAGGTAAGTATCCAAGTCTGGTGACTATTCAGACGGTTATGGAAATAACATAACAGCTTTGGCAGGTGGGATTAAGAAATCCATACCAATGGAGTTCAAGTACTAGGATGCTCACGCTAGACCCTGGAGAACTGGATTCTCCCATGAGGAAGAGTAGGTAGTGAAAAACAGGACTTCACATTATTCGAGACAGCAGCATGGCTTCACAAAGGGCAAGTCTTGCCTGACCAACCTAGTGGCCTTCTATGATGGAGTGACTACACCAGTGGACACGGGAGGGGCTACGGATGTTGTCTATCTGGACTTCTGTAAGGCCTTTGACACGGTCCCCCACAACATCCTTCTCTCTAAACTGGAGAGGTATGGATTTGATGGGTGGACTGTCCGGTGGGTGAGGAATTGGCTGGATGGTCGCATCCAGAGGGTAGTGGTCAATGGCTCAATGTCCACATGGAGATCAGTGGCAAGTGGTGTCCCTCAGGAGTCCGTATTGGGACCAGTACTGTTTAATGTCTTCATCAATGACATCAACAGTGCGATTGAGCGCACCCTCAGCAAGTTTGTAGATGACACCAAGCTGAGTGGTGCAGT